CACTGTAAAAAATGCAGATTAGCAAAAGAAAAGCAAGCAAATTTATTTAATGTAAGTTTTACACGACAAGGGAGCCTTCAGAAGGAAATGAGGACCCAAAAAAATGGTTACATGTAAGGTTTGATGAAAAACAGAAAGTCACGGGAAAATGTGGTAAGACAAAAGAGTATGAGCTAAGCATAGTAAACTGGGGGACACTTAGCATAGCTGTTCATTCAGATTCATCTTGGTGTTCCTCTGTCTTTTGAGATAAGGACGTTCCTTTCCTCTGGTATAAGGAAGCCACCTCTCATATGAGGATCTTATCATCTGTTTTAGGGGAGAAGGTCACAGAGTCATTCTCGCACCTGCCATTTTTCAAATTCCTTCAACTATATTTTGGGAGGAGTATGTCCTGAACACCATCAGTTGTTATCATATTTTTACAAAAGGTGGTAATGTGAGTGAATATACTGCTTTATAAAATGGGAGAAGATGGAAAGGGCTTTAGGACTAAGGTTGAAAACTTTAAGGATCAAAATGTCATATTCCTGAAGCAAAAAGAAAAGTCAAAGAGCATCAGTTTCTTGTAAAATAATTTTGAATGAGAATAAAATGCACTAGTAGGGAGAGACTGAAGTCAGATAGGCTAAACACACAGAATCAAGGAAGTTTATGTTGTGTTTGGGAAATGTGACCAGGCAATTAAAGAAATAACTTAATGATAAGAGAAAATAGAAGTAGAAAGTATAACTGTAGGGATGGAAAAAAATGATTTTCCTTCTACCTAAGTTCTCGTTTGAGACCCCTGTAACAAAAGACAGATTAACAAGGGAAAAACAAGTTAATTAACATGTATATCACACATATAATAAATACATGGGACCACCTGGAAGCGAGTAGCTCAAAGAGGTGGCTTAGAACTCCAGTTTATATAGCATCTTCAGCAAAGAACAACAGCTATTTAAATAAGTGATAACGGAAAGGAAAGGACTTGCGTCCCAAGGGGCAGCAAATTGTAGGAAGGCAAATATGTGGAAAACTAATGGTAGATGAAGGCTAGTTGGTAAAACGTGTTACGTAGCTTCCTCTGGAGCTATCTCCAGGCTCATTAGGGACTCAAGTTGTATCCAGTGATTAGCTTTTATCCCTTTTTGGCAGAGAGGGGAGAATGAATACCTTTGTAAATGTATGTACTGCTTTTAGCGGGAGATAAGAGAGCTTTTCTTGTAACTGCTTTTTCCAAACTGGCTTCAGTTTGAAATAATCCTTATGCCCAAATTGCTTATTTTGGCATGGCACATTTTGCAACCCTTTATAATCTACTCAACACATTCTTATTTCTCTGCTTCTGAAACCATGCCTCAAAGAGTTAAAGAAACCAAGGATAAACAGAAATTCTTGAGTTTGCAGGATGGCAGATTAAAAAAGAAACAACTTAATGAAACTCCCTCTGCTTATGAGATAAAAGAACTAGCTGAAATCAGTTGGAACCAATGTGGCTGACTGGAGTCTGCACAGAACGAGCTTGCTGATGTCACAGTCTGAAATTCCACTGCATGTTTCATACGATCCCAGAATTGCACATGCAACTTATGTTAGCATGAAGAGATAACTGCTCAAGGACTTTGCAGATCTCCCCTTTCCTTTCACCAATCACCTATTAATCTCAGAATTCCCCCTCCCCCATCACTTTCTAAAAATACTGCTTTGAAGCCAGCCTGGAAGACAGATTTTAGCTTGACACTCCTGTCTCCTTGTGAGTCAACTTGCAATATAAAGCTTTTCTTTTCTCAAAAACCCAATGTCATAGTATTGACTTCTAGCATAAGGCAACAAGCCCCTTTTATTCAATAACACTCCAAACTTCACTTCTCTTTAATTTGCTTGGAATGCTGAAATTCTGTTTTTCTTCTTGAAGATACAAACAACTCCCCCTGATAAAATCCATCACTGAAAAGGCATGCTCTTGTCAATACTATTCAACTATGGAAAATAAATACTGATAAGGTGATAATCATACAATATAGTATTTTATATATACTAAATTATATATATACATATTAAGTTCTATTTTTTTCAATATCCAAGTAACTCTTATATTTTTGTCTCTAAAAATCTAAAAGAAAGAATCTTCTGAAGTCCCTAAAGCTCTACTGCAAGAATTTCTAGCCGTTTGAGAATTATTTGCAGCTAAGTGACTCTTGAAGGCATTCTGTCAGGCAGGAAATGTAACACCAATCACAGTATAAAATTGAGTTTTACTGCTAAGTAACATAAATGACAATCCTATATTTTAAGAGATATTGTATGATATGTCTCTCAAAATATGTGACCTTGTGCACATGCACTAATGTCAGAGGTGTTTGAAACAGAGCAACTCCATTTTGAATAGGGGCTGGGTAAACTAAGGCTCAGTTCTGCCGGGAGGCATTCCCAGTAGATTAGGCAATCTAAGTCACAGGATGAGATAGGAGGTCAGCACAAGATACAGGTGATAAAGACCTTGCTGATGAAACAGCCTTCAGTAAAGAAGTTGGCCAAACCCACCAAAACCAAGACAGTGATCAGAGTGACCTCTGGTCATCCTCGCTGCTATACTCCCACCAGTGCCATGACAATTTACCTATGCCATGGCAACGTCAGTTAAGTTACTCTATGTGGTCTAAAAAGGGGAGGCATGAATAATCCACTCCTTGTTTAGCATATAGTCAAGAAATAACCATAAAAATGGGCAACTGGCAGCCCTTGGGGACTGCTCTGCCTATGGAGTAGCCATTCTTTTACTTCTTTACTTTCTTAATAAATTTGCTTTCACTCTACTCTATGGACTTGCTTCAAATTCTTTCTTGTGTGAGATCCAAGAACCCTCTCTTGGGATCTGAATTGGGACCTCTTTCTGGTAATACTAATATGATAAAATTAAAAGTGTGTATTAGTAAATTACCTATTGCTTATTTATTCATACATACATATTTGCACATAAGTAAATGGCACCACTTTATTATGAATAGTGTGGTAGCACCAAGTGGTTAAGACAGAATTAGTAGCTAGCACTAGACTTTCCTTGAAGATATAGACAATGCTTAGTGGGTGTGAAGTAACTTTTTACCTCTAATTGCCGCTGAGAGAAGGAAAGAAGAACCTGGGTAACACCGAAATGGGAACGCAGATTTGGTCCTTTGGCCTTTCCTTCATAAATATGTTTTCTGAGTTTCTTTAACTGCCTGAGGACAAGGGGCTTGAGTACATGATGTTTAAAAACAGTGTTTTTCAAACTTGTCTGCACATTGGATTCAACAGGGAAACTTGAAAAAATACTTAGGCCTGTATCCCACTCCAAAGGTTGTAATTTAATTCATCTGGGGTGTGACCTAACCTTTGGAATTTTTATAAGACCACCAGGTGCTTCTAATATGCAAGCAAGTTTAGGGACCACATTTTAAGGTAATTTTCAGTTCTATGTCTGTGATTAGGAAAAGATTTAAAAGCAAAACAAAATAAAAAACTAGGGAAAATCAAAGGACATATGTCATTATAAAACACGGCAGAATTTTTAAAATTATGACAAATTGGGCAATTTGTTAGCAATTATGGCAATACTGAACTTCCCTACTGTCTATATGTAAAAAAGAGGTGTTCTATCATTCGTCTTTGTGGTTTTGTTACAAGAAAGGGGTCCTGATCCAGACTCCAAGAGAGGGTTCTTGGATCTCGCACAAGAAAGAATTCAGGGCAAATCCACAGCGCAAAGTGTAAGCAAGTTTTTTAAGAAAGTAAATTTCTAATTTTTCCTAAATTAGAAAAATATAATTTTAGTAGTCATGTGGTCCTCAGTTTATAAGTAAGCCATAAAAGAATGGCTACTCCATAGACAGAGTAGCCCCGAGGGGTGCTGGTTGCCCATTTTTATGGTTATTTCTTGATGATATGCTAAACTAGGGGTGTATTATTCATGCTTCCCCTTTTTAGACCATATAGGGTAACTTGCTGATGTCGCCATGGTATTTGTAAACTGTCATGGCACTGGTGCAAGTGTAGTAGTGAAGACAACCAGAGATCCCTCTTGTGGCCGCCTTGGTTTTGGTGGGTTTTGGCCGACTCCTCTACCACAACCTGTTTTATCAGCAAGGTCTTTAAGACCTGTGTTTTGTACTGACCTATGTCATCCTGTGACTTAGAATGCCTTAACCATCTGGAAATGCAGCCCAGTAGGTTTCAGCCTCATTTTACCCAGCTCCTATTTAAGATGGAGTTGCTCTGGTTCACACGCCTCTGACAGTTTTACTGATGTGTTTCAAGTGCATATATGAATGTACAGCCAGGGGTAAGAGAAAGAAGCATTATAGATTTTTAGTTTCCTCCTGTTGCTGTTCACTAGGGGTACATATCTTAAGACTAGGAATCTGTAGAGCTATAACTTTAAAGAACTAATTTTTAACCACCTTTCAATTAAAGTTAGTACAATGACTTTGCATAATACATACATAAAATAATTAGTGAAGATGGTTCTTAATTTAAAGGATGTTAAACAGCTTGTAGACATCTGGTAACAAGCTGAAATGGGTCATTCAAAATTTATCTAACTAAATTAAGGGGGAAAATTGTTTCTCCTCCCAGGTTGGCATGTCACAAGATAACTAAACCGACTTAGTAGGCTTGCCTGGGAATCCTTAGCTGTCAGTGGTGAATATGCAAAGGGCCAGCAAATTAAATCAACCTGCCAAACTGTCAATTTCAAGCCTCATGACTGCATGAAAATAGCATCACTGGAAGAAATCAAGCATTGCCTTCTTTTGGGTTTCCTGGCACCTATTCAAATACTCATGCAGTTGTGGCTAATTTTGCATGCAAATTTCAGTCAATAAGCTCAGAACAAGACCTCCCAAGATATTTCAAAGGATCTGACAGTATTTTTTCTGAATACCAAATCGACAGTAGTTGAAATTCAATCTCCATTTGCTAGTGCTTTACATATGCACAGTGTCCCCACCACAGAGCTAAGTTAATGAGAGCCTTACCTGCTTTCACTCACATCCTCCCAGCCGTCCTTGCTGAGGTTCTCAAACACATTGCTCATAACCTTGATGGAGTGATTGAGAACAGTGTGGTGACGACCCACAGAGCAATTTTTCTTGGCAGCTTTAAATTTAACCTTGGTCATAGTTGTCTTACAATCATATCGTCCAGATCTCACGTTCGTGGTAGCTGTCTCGGATTTAGCTTTGTCTGCTGACTGGTGTGATTTCTCCATTGGGTTGATCAGCTCTTCATTTTCATTTCTCAATGCATTAGCTTCTGCCACTTGTCTCTTCAGGAAAGTGACTTCTCTCTCCAGCTCACTGATTTTTACTTGAAGTTCAGTATTTTCTTTTTCTACATCTTTATTCCCCTTTATTATCTGTTCTAGCTCTTTTTCTCTGGTCTCAGTATCTTCTTGTTGCTGTTTTAAGAGGGATTTCAGAAAATCATTTTCTTTCATTAATTTTTTATTCCCTTCTTTTAATTTTCTCGACCTTTTCTCAAAAGATTTCAGCCGATTTTCCAACTCAATGACCTAAAGAGAAGAGTTTATTCTTTCAAGAATCCAAAACCATAATCTACTATACTTTATTATCATTTCTAACTTATGAAATAAAAATTACATTTAGCACATGGACAAAACAAATCTAAAGTACTTAATTTCTAGATAATTCTAAGGCGGTATAGATGAATACATTCAAAAATGCAATAATATATCTGTTGAATAAAGGACAGATGGTAAAAGAAGGTAAAATTCTACACAGTGACAGAACTAAGTATGCTAATAAACTGCAGTGTCTTCTGAGATCATAAGTGCCTTGGCTATATATTCTATTCATTGTGGAAAAAATATTACAGAGAAAAATAACATACACAAAAAGGCTAAAAGTAGACACATAAACTGCATTAATAAATAAACTTTTTTCAATATTCAACAATCACATGAAAAAGGAATGAAATACAAAGTAATCTACTGAGGCTGCTTTTGTCCTAAATTGGAAAAATGTAATTTTAGTAGTCATGTGGTCCTCAGTTTATGTGATAAAGGAACAGTTTACCAAAATAATAAAGTCTAGCAATTTTAAATTACAATGATTTCAAGATTGCATATAAATTAAAATTTTACCATTTATTTCAATAAACAATGCTTGTGTTGTAGGACATAGCAATGATAACACACACTTCCTAATCTTAAGGAATTTCAAAATCATTTGGAAAGACAGACATTTGCATAAATAAACCTAATAAAGGATATAATCTAAGTGTCATAAGTCTGGGCAATTAATTCCAATTCATAAGTTCAAATATTTCATAGAGGAGTTGATTTACATTTAGATCTTATTAATAATAAGCATTATTGTTTGTAAAGTACATTCTACTATTTACGAAATAGTTTCAAAAACACGATCAACATGATTGCTTCTGGCCATCTCAAAACATGAGGTATGTGGAACTAACAATTATCTTTCCAGACAGGAAAAAGAGGTTCTGAAAACTTAAATTTCACAGAGGTAAACCTTTCTGGGATTGAACTGGGATCCAAATTCAGGATTTTGTGCCCCTCCCACTATTCAACAAGGCATATGAGAAAGAAGAATTACTCAGATATGTATGGAAAATGTACAAAGATTTGGACTCAAGAAAAAACTGGAGATAAGCAAAACAATCTAAATGACTGAAAAAGTATATGAACTCATTTTTACTTTTAAAACAAAATTCTTCAGAGAAACATGTTTGATACACTGACAACTCCAATGGTCTGACTACTTTTGTCCCTCACAAAATTCATTATATTGAAACCTGATCACTAGTGTGATGGCATGATGAGGTGGAGCCTTTGGAAGGTGATTGGATCATGAGGGTGGGGCCCTCATGAATGGGATTAGTGCTAATAAAAGAGACCTGGGCCGGGCGCGGTGGCTCACGCCTGTAATCCCAGCACTTTGGGAGGCCGAGACGGGCGGATCACAAGGTCAGGAGATCGAGACCATCCTGGCGAACACGGTGAAACCCCGTCTCTACTAAAGAATACAAAAAACTAGCCGGGCGAGGTGGCGGGCGCCTGTAGTCCCAGCTACTCGGGAGGCTGAGGCAGGAGAATGGCGTAAACCCGGGAGGCGGAGCTTGTAGTGAGCCGAGTTCGTGCCACTGCACTCCAGCCTGGGCGACAGAGCAAAGACTCCGTCTCAAAAAAAAAAAAAAAAAAAAGAGACCTCAAGGTGAGGACACAGCAAGAAGGCACCATCTATGAACCAGAAAGAGAGATCTTACAAGACACTGAATCTTGGATCTTGGACAGTTGGATCTTGGACAACAAGTTTCTATTGTTTATAATCCTCTCGGTTTTAGTATTTTTTATAGCCGACTGAAGAGACTAAGACAATAACCAATGATTCAAAATAATAATATTCCAGAAATATACAAGATAAAACATACATATTCTTAACACTTTCCAGTTTACGAAACTTTACTTATAATAGTGAAGATGTAAATTGTTTCCTAAACATGAGTTTCAGTCATGTCTGATTTACATATCCTTCTATATTATCTTTTTTTTTTTTAACGTTCAACCCCTTTCATTTAAATCAACATTAATTTACTAAGTGACTATACTATCCTGGGGCATGGGTATTTCTCAACACAGTATGAAGAATCTCACCTACTTTCAATCACTTCTATTCTATGGTATGATATATTAACCTACTATTGGACATATGTCCTTAAAGGACCTACTCATGACCTGGAATAAAGGTATCTGAAAAATTTTGTCTCAAACTATTGTAGACTTCTGCATATTTCTTTGAAAGAGATTGTATTGTTCCTTCTCAATGTAAACACTTTACTGGGGAGCTGATTACTGTGACAAAAAATACAGTGTTCAAGAAAAAAATCTATGCCAGAATCCTTTTCACTTTTTCCAAATCACTCTACCTCTAAATTTTATTGAAGGATTTTTAATCACTGCCCAAATCAGTATACTTTTCATAAATATATTTTAAAATACTTTTGCATATTAGATTCCAATATGCAATAGAGTAAAATATACTCTATTCTTTAAATACATATTTGATGCAAGTAAACAATTACACTTTCTTTGAGTCAAGATCTCATTTTATTGCCCAGGCTGGAGTGCAGTGGCCCGATCATGGTTCACTTCAGCCTTGACCTCCTGGGCTCAAGTGATCCTCCCACCCTAGCCTCCAAAGGAGCTGGGACCAGAGGCAGGTACCATCACACCTGGCTAACTTTTTATTTTTTGTAGAGACGGGGTCTCATTGTGTTGCCTTGACTGGTCCACACTTTTTTTTTAAAAGTGACTTTGGTGATACAAAAATATTAATAAGAAGCAGTGTGTTTTAGGGGAAATAGAATTTTGAATCAGGTCTATATCTCACTTCCAACTCTACTTGCTTTAGTTGGTAAAATATTAAAGGTATTTTACCTTTAGTTTCCTCATCTGTGAAATGAGGATAGTAATACCTATACCTTACAGTTTTGTTGGGAGTATTAAATGTGATCATAAACCATAATTCCTGACAGACAGTAAGTAGTAAACAATTTACTATCATTATCATTATTACTATTATCATTCACCTTAACATCTACCTAATAAAACTGCTATAACTAAAATATAATTACTTGTGATGAATATTCTGAATTAGCCATTAAATCAGCTGTATATTTCAATTCAATTAAAATATGTTACAAATAAATATAACTAATAAACATCTTAAATTTGAGATTCCAATTCTGGAAATTAGCATTTTTTTTCTTTTGACTAAAATCCACTTAAGTTTGGGGACAACTCATTAACATTTTACATACGTTGGGGCTCAGAATACAACACACCAAAATATGCCACTTTGGCTTGCCAAGTACCTTGAATTGAAGGTCACTGGAAGTGCCTCAGAAGCAAGATCTCCTGCCCTCCTGTCACCCGCCCCATTTTCTCCCATAAAGTAAGTCACATCAACCATAATTCCTCTTCCCTAAGGCAGGTCATACAAACTAGAACTCTTCTCCCCAAAAGCAAGCTGCAAAACCAAGAAAGGTAACTTTCTCCCTTCTCAGTTCTCCCTTGAAGACTTTCATTCCAGAGGGGTCCTGTCCCATACCCAGGAAGGAAGGAAGTCTACACAGAGGGCAAGAAGAATCTGAGCAGATAGGCCTTGCATGGTTTGCCCCTCCTTAGCCTATTACCATAGACATATCCTTTTCTATAGATACATTTCTACATGGCTATCCTTTCTTTATCGAACCTAAGCGCATAAATAGACAGTTTTCTCTGGGTCTTTGTTTTTGAAGCCTCCTGTGGCACAAAAAACTTTGATTAAATAAATGTTATGTATTTCTCGTGTTAAACTGTCTTTTATTATAGGAGTGTCAAATGTGGCCCTTATGATAGATGAGGAAAGATGCCACAACTTTCCACCTCTATATACATACCAATTGAAGATGTCTGTGGTTTTAAGGTCTGTTAACTGCCTAATGTGAATGTATGTTTAATCATGAGAACTGGTCAAAATTATTTAAGTTTAAAATGGAGGACAAATAACAAAACAGAGACACTACTTCTAAACATTTTGAAAAGGGAAAATCCATAGCACTTATTAAAGTGTTATTCAAGGTATACTCAAAAATTGTTAAACTGATTTTAATCCTTCAAAAATAGAAAAGTAAATTTTAATACATATTTGAGAATGAAAGTCTGGGGAACTGTTAAAAGTATTCAATTTGTGGATTATAATTCAGCTCAAGCCCACGTTTTCTTATAGTATTGAACATTTAAAATAATATACCAAATAGATGGCTCTTTTCAGGCCAGGTGCGGTGGCTCATGCCTGTAATCCCAGCACTTTGGGAGGCTGAGACAGGCGGATTACTTGAACCCAGGAGTTCAAGACCAGCCTGGCCAACATGGTGAAACCCCACCTCTACAAAAAAAACAAAAATTAGCCAGGCATGGTGGCACACGCCTGTAGTCCCAGCCACTTGGGAGACTGAGGCACGAGAATTGCTTGAACCTGGGAGGCGGAGGTTGCAGTGAGCCAGCATTGCCCACTGCACTCCATCCTGGGTGACAGAGCAAGACTCTGTCCCAAAAAAAAAAAAAAAAAGAGGCTCTTTCCAAAACTGAAATAAAATACCTGACATTATGAAGCTATGAAGAGTGTAGTTTGCTAGGTTTGCCATAACAAAGTATAACAGAGTAGGTGACTTAAACAACAGAAATTTATTTTCTCACATTCCTGGAGTCTAGAAGTCCAAGATCAAGGTGTCAGCAGGGTTGGTTTCTTCCGAGGCCTTTCTCCTTGGCTTGTAAATGGCTATCTTTTCCCTGTGTCTTCACATGGACTTCCCTCTGTATTTGTCTGTATTCTAATTTCCTTTTTTTAAATAAAGACACCAGTCATGTTGAATTAGGGCTGACCCTAATAGCCTTATTTTAACTTAATTACCTCTTTAAGGACCCTATCTCCAAATGAATGTAAACATTCTGAGATAATACAGCTTAGGACTCTTAATATATATAAATGTGGGGGGTAGATCACAATTCTGCCAATAACAATGTGAAATGTTAATATATTATTTTTAAAATAATCTGCTCATATGTTTCATTTCTACTGTATACAAATATTGTTTTCACCTTATTACTGTTTTTTAAATTTATTTTGAGTGAGTTTCATACATAACCTTTTAAAATAATGAAACTCAAACATGAGAAATTAACTTATGATTGATAAAACTATATTAGGTAAATATAAAAAATAGTATACTAATGAAAATAATTTATATTGGTTGTTCAGGTCTTAAAATGGATGTCTGGATCTACTATTGTAGTATTCATTTACGGCAGATGGAATGAAATAATGGCTTTCTTTAGCGTTTCTACCCTAAGGCAAGAAAAAGTAGCATAGTATTACATATCCATAGATACAAAAATCATATAAAACCTGGCAAATAAAAATATTATTCTGAAAAATAGATGATAAGCTAGTGTGAACTGTATGACATCCTAGCTGGTAGTGCATAGATTAATTCAATTAATCATTTTACCTAAAGACAAATGAATGTAAGCATTTCTAGTTCTCTGTGTTACTATGTTAACTTGATATGTGTCATTCAGTAATAATGAGATGACAGCCTTTGTGACCTGACAAGTTGTTAGAAGTATGAACAATCACATCATCTGCTGTAATTCACTAGATTTCCTACAAGTCAATTCAGAGATGTAACGAAATATAAGCAACTATGTTAATATTTTTGTTTATACATTTGTACATTTTCAGAGTTATCTAAGTATTAAGATTTTGTAAAAAACTAAAATCAATCTAATGCAGCCAAATGACAATCACTTACAAGAACAAACTATTTAAAGATTATTTTCTTTATAACAAAGTGTTAATAATTAGATCCACTTAACTGAACTTGATAACAATGTATTTACTTATAAAAATACAAATTAAGTATAAAATTATAAAAGTAAATGTTAATATTTTAAAACGGTATTTTACTATTAATGATAGACATGTTATAACATGACTATAAGGTTTACATGGATGGTCTTACTAAAACATAAAAAGCTGTACTCAATTATATTGGTATAATTTTTTATCTAAAATGAGATGAGCCATGTACATTTTCATGTTTAACATTAAAACTATAAACATATAACCATTTTACTGAGGTAAAGCTATAACTATGCTCAGTGTTTTAGTTCAAATATTACAAATCTCTATATTTGTGGAAGTATAGCACAGTCTTATTAAAATATATTTTAAACTTAAACTAAGTTATAACTAACAAGCACATATAGTCTACATTTCTACAATTTCTATTTTTTTCATTTTCTCCACTTCACCTTTTGAAAATAATTTTAATCTACGTCAATGGAAGCACAAGTGTTTACACATTTATTTCACTAACATTGATTTTTTTTTTACCCCATTTTGGCAAGCCAATGATTTTGAATTATGAATTTAAATTAAGGATTCACACAAGGTTTACACTCATAAGCCCTCGTTTTAAAATATAATCCTTTATGTTAAAATTCAGATTTAACTTGCTCAGCTCAATATCTTAAAGATTAGACTACCTTCTGCAATGTCTGCTCCAACATTTCTTTTCCATTCTTCTCTGGAGTACTCCTCTTGACCTCAGCATCTTCACCAGATCTAAAGAGCTGTTCTGGTAGAGAATAAATAATATATTATGATACCATGTGTGCTGCTGAAATACTGTCCTGTCATTTTAAGGAAAAGGGTTCTACGGTTTTTCAATTGTGAATAATCTAGGGTATTTTCTTGTCAAGTATTTGACCAGTAACTAAACAATGACCCTTTTCAAGATTTTTAGTCACACAATTAAGTATCTTTGTAGTGTCACCTTTTTTTTTTTTTTTTTTTTGTGCAGTGTAAGATTTTTCAAAAGTACAATAGATCTTCAGGTTAACAATGCTACACTTTTATTCCTATTTTCATTCTTTTGTAGACTATTCCCCCTTTGCCTTAAAAGCAGAATTCATTGCCTTTTTATCTACACAGTCACTACTAGTTTTGTTCTCTGGATCTTGTTCCCTGCCAGGAGGATCACAGTGATTGCTGAACAAAGCAAACAGTAACAGAATTAGGGTGGACTGAAATCGTAACACCCCCTACAACAACCTTTTTTTCAAGTGAAAGATCATGCACTGGGCAAGGTAAACCATACAAATAACTCTTCTAGAAATACTGTGACTTCATAACAAATAGAAAGCTAGGTATATGGGTGAGGTTATAGCTACAAATCATTCCTATACTAGCTATACATTTGACTACCAAAACCTTTTCAACCAAGCCAAAACCTACAAGTAACTTAACAACCTTAAAGAAAAAATGAAATAATAAAACTTCAGTTAATACTAAAACCAAAATATATCAAATCCTATAAATAACTTTTTTCTTAACAGATAAATTACTATGACAAATTTTACTAACATTTTCTTAGTGAATTACTTTTGGAATATAACATTTCTTAAGGAATAAAAGGGGGACAAAAAAGAATATATAAAACTAAAAGGATATATATCTGTGTTAGCCTGAGATGATTTTGCTTTAAAGTATGCTTGGCTGCTGTAGGTCAGTGTAAAATTTTGATTTCTCAACAAAGGAAAAAGAAAACAATATTATTCTCTGTAGAGTAGAAATCCTCCTGGTATAAACAGTGACTAACAAGTTTGTTAGAGTGAATTAGGCATTTCTTTTGTCTTTGAAAAATGACATACCCAATTAAAACTTCTGTACTTATGAAATAAACAGAACACTATCCTAAGGATAATAAAAGCTAGGATAGGTAGAATTTGTCACCTGGGGAATAAGTACCTTTACCTTGATAATAATCTATCAGTTCCCAAGTTTCTTCTTCTAGTCCCCTAACACCATGATGCTGAATTCATTTACAACAATCTTTCAGTATTATAGAAATAATATGCAAATACAATTCATCCTTTCTAGTCATTTAAATATCTGATATACTTCTGAGTGAAATATTTAATCTTAAAAATAATAGTTCTATATTCAAACAGCATGGGATGCCAACAATAGCTAAATACTTCCAATAAAATAAATGGTGAAGACTGATTTAAAAATGAATCTGTCTGCTGCTTATTTGCTCCTGGATGTGTGCAAGGTCCACTGGTGGATTGTCTAACCATGTTCACCTGTACTTATCTGCTGAAGTTTGTTTCTTCCCTTCACAGGTTTATACAGAACGCTCAAGAAGCTAAGCTCATGCCATGGAAAGAAATGAGGATCCAATTTTCTGGCCCTTGATTCTCTTTCTCTTCAAGGATCTCAGGATTTGGAAAATAAACCAAGAAGACCTAGTTAGAAATACACACTCCTATTTCTTTCCTATGGTAGACATGTGAGCATATGCTTCACTTTACTGGAGATTTAATTTCAATACTTTAGTTTTAAATGCTTTACATTCATTATAATTTATATTCTTTCTCAGGAGTTCCTTCTCTCCATTTTTTCTTTTTTGCATTAACTTTTAATTTTGCTTATTCATAGTTATTTAAGCTTATTATATTCTATTTTCTACATTTTTTCTTTTAATCTTCTTGGCTTAAATAATATAAAGTTTTCTGCAATCTTTTACTTTGTATTCTTCTTTTAGATTCTTTCTTTTAATTAATTTAACAAATGATTTTAAAAATCTATTATCATTGTTTTTTCCCTGATCTTAATATGAAGCTTCGTACACAAACTTTCTTAAAGGTCTGTTTGTGATTATATCAATTTGAGAGATTTAAAAAGGAAAATAGTTATCAACTTATTGTATTGGCAATTTCCTAAAGAATACTGCTATTTTTATTTCACTTTTAGGAAAAGAAAATGAGAATCATAGTGGGTAGGTTTTACTTCAGAAGGTACTTGTGATACAATAAGAAACATATACAGTCGTTCCTGTTGCAGGGACCTTCCTGGGATACCTAAATCCAACCATGCTCACGTCCCTGATGTAGCATTTGCATATAACCTATGCACATCGTCCTGTATACTTTAAATAATCTCTATATTACTTAGAATAACTAATACAAAGTAAATGCTACATAAATATTGTTATACCATATTGTTTAGAGAATAACAAGATAAGTCTATACATGTTCAATACAGACGCAATTCTTTTTCAAATATTTTAGATCTGCAGTTGGCTGAATCCAGGCATGTGGAACCCATGGATACAGAGGGTCCACTGTATTTGGATTTTGTCCCCAATTCCTGAAACATAGTTTCAAAAACCTTTGGAATTTCTTGAGTAATAGGAGCATCCTTTGTTATTACAAGCAAAGCATAACAAGCTCCTTTCAACCATATCAGAGTTTATGCTTAATAAGATGATTCCCGGTGAGCCCCTAGATAGGTTCAAGATGAGGACTGGCTGCAAAAGGAGGCAACCATGTGATTACATGGTTTTAACATCCAACCCCACCACCAGGTCTCTGCAGAGGGAAGAGGAAATGGAGATTGAATTGAATCACCAACGGCCAATGATTGAATCAATGATGGCTACTTAATGGAAGCTCCATAAAAAACTCTATGGAGTTTGGAGAAATTCCAAGTTGGTAAACACATTGAGGTGCTGAAGGTGGCATGCTCAGAAAGGACATGGAAGCTTCTTGCTCCTTCCTCCATACCATGAACTATGCAACTCTTCTATTTGGCTGTTTCTGAATAGTATCCTTTATAATAAACAAGCAATAGTAAATGGAAAACTTTTCTGAGCCATTCTAGCAAACTAACAAATCTGAGGAAGGACTCCTGGGAACCCCCAATTTAAACTCGGTTGGTCAGAAATACAGGTGGAAACGTGGGACTTGTGATTGGGATCTAAAATGGGGGCAGTCTTGTGGGACAGAGTCCTTAATCTGTAGGGTCTGCACTAATTCTAAGTAGTTACAATTGAACTGACTTGCCCAACTGGAGTTTGGAGAAGCAAAGAGTTGGTTGTTGGGTGGAAGCAAAAACCTATATAATTGGTGTCCGAAGTATTGTGAGTAAAAATAACTCTGAACACTGTTTCAGATAAGTGAATTGAGGATAAATAGGCAATAATCAGCAAGACCTGCCATGAAAAAGTTTTTGGTTCTTGTGTTAATTAAAAATCGTTGCCTTAGGCAAGATAAAGTCAGATCAGCCAACTATAATTAGAATCCATCTCCTCTGGAAGTAACCATAAGCCAGTGAAAACTCAACTCCCATTTCTGATGAATGAAATGGCAAGAAATAAATCCTGTTTCTGATGAGTAGGAGAGAATTTCATTCATTTGATATGACTGTTATACTTGGCACCTCTTTCTGGAGACCTAGACCATCTCCTTTGAGTTTACCTGGGCAGGAGGCCTGGGAAGAATCTATTCAATCAGTAAAAGTTCAAAGACAAGTAGTCCATTTTTGTTATCAGCCACAAATATTCTAAAAAGGAAGTTACCAGGACAATGTAAGTATCTTTTTCTAGGACGAGAGGTAGGAAAACAGAGGGATAAGTAGGTTTTGTGGGTTTTTTTTTTTTTCATTTTATTTACTATAAATTATACCCAATAAATAGGCTTCCTTGCCTTAAAAATAAAATGTCTTTAAGCTGGGGACTTGCTGGACTCGATCCTATTAGCTCACTGGATGAATCAGGGGAATTTGAACATGCTGTCTTTAATTCCTCTAGCTAGCTTGAAAGCCATGTGTAACACCCCCTTTTTATTTTATGCTATTCCTTAAGCCCATACTTTAAAAATATTTTAGACTGTTTATTTTCTACTTCCGAGTGCTTCATTATATTTTAATTTCTATCTTTATATTTAAATGAATTAGTTTTGTGAAGTTTAACACTGTAATTGTGTTTCTGATTTCATATAAATTTCATGTTACAGGCTGGGCACGGTGGCTCACGCCTGTAATCCCAGCACTTTGGGAGGCCAAGGCAGGCGGATCATGAGGTCAGGAGATCGAGACTATCCTGGTTAACACGGTGAAACCCTGTCTCTACTGAAAATACAAAAGAATTAGCCAGGCATGGTGGCGGTCGCCTGTAGTCCCAGCTACTCAGGAGGCTGAGGCAGGAGAATGGTGTGAACCCGGGAGGCGGAGCTTGCAGTGGCCCGAGATCACCCCACAGCCCTCCAGCATGGGCGACAGAGCAAGACTCTGTCCCCCCACGCAAAAAGAAAAGAAAGAAAATTTCATGTTACAAATTACTTCTTGCAATTAACTTTTGTTTCAATTTACTTTAATATTTCCTCTATATTCTTAATACTCCTTTGGCTTGTTTTAAAAATAATTTTTTAATTTGAAAATTCCCATTTTTTTTTTTAAGACAGGGTCCTGCTGTATCACCCAGGCTGGAGTGCAGTGACACGATCTCAGATCACTGTAACCTCCACCTCTAGGGCTCAAGTGATCCTCCAGCCTCAGCGCCCCAAGTAACTGGGGGTACAGGTGTGTACCACCACACCCAACTTTTTTTTTTTTTTTTTTTTTCGGTAGAGACAGGGTTGACCAGGCTGGTCTCAAATTCCTGGATTCAAACAATTTACCTGCCTCAACCTCTCAAAATCTTGGGATTACAGTGTGAGCCACCAGTGCCATGTTGGTAACAACTACAAAGAAGCATGACTTTAAGCGTAACAGAAGCAACCAAAAATTGTATAA